AAGTACGAAGACCAGATCCAGTGATGGACAGACGACGTAGTATAACACAAAGCTCCGCAGAAGCCTCCAAACAGATGATAGCTTTAAATGTTGCAATGGTTGCGTCTTTTGCAATGCTAGTTTTTTTTTAACGATCTGCCAAGTTTCAGTCTGATACAAGTTATCGCTTGTTGCTCTTATTCAAATATTAGTGACCGCTAACTTTTATATATTTTTGAACCAGACTAAAAAAATTAACCAAAAAAAATATGTATGTTCACCTTGAAGTTACACTTGAATTCATTTACATGTGTTAGTTTAAAACTAATAATTGTATAGATCACCAAAATAGGTTAAGAACAGAAGACGTCAAAGAATTCTTTTGGGCTGTAAGACTCGTCGAGCGAAGCCCGGAAAAAAATCTTGAACTTAGTTGACTGAAGCGTGAGAGTGTGAACGCGCAAGCAGTTTTGAAAAAACTTTCTTTTAACTTTTGTTTTTATCTAGTTAAAGAAATCCTAGCTTTGAACACAAAAACCTATGTTCACTTTCAGTGTTTTCTATCAAACAGTCAGGTATTTTTTTTTTGAAAACTAGAAGAATATAAAAGTTAAATGTAAAGGGCTCAAACAATCTTTTTTTAATTTTTACATGTTTGGCAAATCAAGCATTTTAGCAATGAGAGCGATCAATAATCTTTCTTCAGAATCCACGGGAGGAATCCACGGGAGGAATCCACGGGAGGAATCCACGGGAGGAATCCACGGGAGGAATCCACGGGAGGAATCCACGGGAGGAATCCATGGGAGGAATCCACGGGAGGAATCCACGGAAGGAATCCACGGAAGGAATCCACGGGAGGAATCCACGGGATGAATCCACGGTAGGAATCCACGGTAGGAATCCACGGGAGGATTCCTTGGAAGGAATCCACGGGATGAATCTACGGGAGGAATCCACGGGAGGAATCCACGGGAGGAATCCACGGGAGGAATCCACGTGAGGAATCCACGGGAGGAATCCACGGGAGGAATCCACGGAAGGAATCCACGGAAGGAATCCACGGAAGGAATCCACGGGAGGAATCTACGGGAGGAATCCACGGGAGGAATTCACGGGAGGAATCCACGGTAGGAATCCACGGTAGGAATCCACGGAAGGAATTCACGGGAGGAATCCACGGGAGGAATCCACGGGAGGAATCCACGGGAGGAATCCACGGGAGGAATCCACGGGAGGAATCCACGGGAGGAATCCACGGGAGAAATCCACGGGAGGAATCCACGGGAGGAATCCACGGGAGGAATCCACGGGAGGTATCCACGGGAGGAATCCACGTGAGGAATCCACGGGAGGAATCCACGGGAGAAATCCACGGGAGGAATCCACGGGAGGAATCCACGGGAGGAATCCACGGGAGGAATCCACGGGAGGAATCCACGGAAGGAATCCACGGGAGGAATCCACGGGAGGAATCCACGGGAGTAATCCACGGGAGGAATCTACGGGAGGAATCCACGGGAGGAATCCACGGGAGGAATTTACGAAACAATCCACGAAGGACACATGAGTAGATAGTACAGCTTGATAAAGATATCTCAGATAAAAAATGGATTTTTTTTTAATTTTTGAGAATTTGCTGCAATTTGTAAGACTTTTAGATCGACAGATTTTTAAGAATTTTTCTACAGGTTTTTGTGCTGTTCCAGACAAAATTTATCAAAAACTTCAATTAATTATCTACTAATTTTAATCAAATACTCCGAGATATCGTCATTTCAGAAAAAAAAATTCAAGTTTGGAGAATATATTTCGCAGTGGAATTCTTGGATTATTGGCACTTTAGAAATTCTATGGCCGACTATATTAACATCATTAAACACACAATTACACTGGCTATATTACACATTCTCAATTTTCTGGAATACTTGCTACAAAACTATGTCTTTCAAACCTTCATATTTATCTTCAAATTTTTAAATTTCCTAAATGATTTGTACACGAGAGCTTTCTTGAGAAAAAACTGTGTTTTTTATTTGAGAATTTATATTACGAGGCCAAATTGTGCACTTTTTGGGCGCACAGTTTTGTGTCTGTATGTTCCTGGATTCCAGAGACAAGTCTTGAACGACCAAACTGAATGAAATAACAAAAAAGAACAAGACTGCTCGTATCAGGGCGAAACCCTGGTTGTTCCGACTGCCTTTTGTTGTTTCATGAGCAGTAATAACAAAAAAATTAAAATATAATAAAATAAAACGAAATTTTTTTTTCTAAACTTGAAAATTTTTATGAAAATCATCCCCCCACACGCCATATAAAGTACAAAAAGATAGATTTCGCTCCTATTATTATACCAATTATGGTATATAAGCTTTCTTGAACCAATTTGGAACGATTTCTAAGGCGGATTAAATCTCCGCTTACGCTTTAATAGCGCAAATTATATCGCGCGTTGATTGTTCCAAATTAGTCAAAATGGCAATCTTTAAACCCCCATAACTTTACAAAAAATGGTAACAGGTGAAATATCTTTTCAAATTTAAGCTCAGCACAAAAATAGCTTTTGAATGATATAAATAAATTCCGTCAAAAATGGCTAGTTAACAAGTCGAAGTTTGTCTGAAGAAAAAAAAAACCACCCCGAGCACAAATATTCCGTTACTTTCGTATCGAAAGTCGGAACAACAAAGGGAGCGTTCTTGTTGCGGAATCGCTTACAATTCACAAATTACACATAGTTTGGCCTCGTAATGCACATTAAAAGGCAATCCTGAGAAAGCAAATTTCATGAAGGTTCAGATATCCTTTAGAATTTATTCTTTAAACTGCCCGAGTCGAGATTTTTCACCCAATTTGAAGCAAGATTTGAGCGGTTTGAGCGGTTTTTTTAGACAATTACGCTCAAAATCTTGCGTTTTGTCGTGGCATTGATTGGTCATAAGACATGGTGGGACAGTTATCGAGTCACAAAGCACCGGCTTCAAATTAGGAAATGCTGGCAAAAGACTTCTTGAAAACCCCATCTAGAGAATAGAAAATGTTTTCTAATTTAGTGCAAATTTCTTCAATAATTAAAAAAAATGATAGATATATCCAAATGAGTTAGGACCAATGTGGTTAACTCATAGAGTAATTTTGGATAGGGTACACCGTCTGCTCATCACGCTATCTTATTTTCGGCCGGATAGATTCGTGCAACTTCTTAGTCTAATACCGATCCCTAATCTTACTCTTATACTTTCTAGTCTCAGGGTGTTTAACTAGTCTCTGCTAGGCTCAATAGATCTAGGGTATACTGGTTTGTTGCGGCTGCTGAAGTTTTCTTGGAGAGACAACTAATTTCTAAGTTAAATTCAAATCTCTCTGGTGCTGAAATTACAAGTATTTTCAGCACTTACAAATAAGTGGGTTGTTAGTTAGATGGATCATGATTGGTTAATATTAAATAGTTTACAGTGGTAAAATATCTAATTTATCCAATCATAAAATATAGTTTAGATCAGGTTCCACCCATCCGGGTTTTACAGAGTTTTTTAGAATTATCTTTCTGCAATTCAAAGGATGGATGATGAACGTTGGTATTTGGCGAACATCATATTCTTGCCCGGTTCCTCTTGTTAGAGAAGTTCCAGGACGCTGGAGCTAGGGACATCAATCGTTGTGTCGTCTTGTGACAACGACTGTGTTTCCCAATGAAATCAATCTGATTTCAAAATGGTTTGCTATGACGGGTTTTTCTGTAATATGTAGAGAACTTGTTTTGTGTTCAACCTCGTCTGGGAATGGCGTGCAGATTGTGCGTGGAGGGGATGCCTTGTAACTCGGATCTGTACGTATACTTGAACATCGAGGTGGTCATTGGTCTAGTTCAATGAAGTCCTTTTCTGCGAAGTCAAGTCGTACTCTAAATCCTTTGAGTTGTGATTGTGGACGGCATATCGGTTGTGGTTAGCCATTCTTGTTCGAGTGTAATGGGATCATTTTGTCTTTGGATGTTCGTCTTTGTTGTTGTGTGTTGATCTATATACTGTTATAAAATTTTTATTAGTTCGGTTTTTTAATCATGAATTTAGTTGTTTTCATGTTTTTAGTTGTTTTCCTAAGTTGTTTTCACAAAAGCATTTTGTTTTAGTTCGGTTATTTTGAAGAGTTACTCACCCTTGAGTACCTCTTATTAAAAATAGAAGTGTGGTCACAAAGCGTGGATGTAGCGCGGTGGGTTAGGCCGGCTGTAGAGCATGCTCAGGACGTCCTCTCTGGTGGGTTAGGCCAGGAGTGGGAGTATGGTTTCGTGCGGTTTATTTGAGAGGTCCTGTTATGTGATAACGTTTTATGTTGGGTTTATGTTGGTCTTTCTTATGTTTCTTTGGTTGTGTCCTTTTTTCAAAAATCAAATTGTTTTTGTTATGGATTGGTCTTTCGACTTTTTTGTGTTTTATTATTTCTTTCTTAGACTTTATAATAGTCTTCAAAAGAACAAATTATCCAGTTTCAAACTGGGTTAATCCGGTTTGGGTACCATTGGTTTTCTTTTCTTAGTCATGCTGTTATTTTATGATTTGTGGTGTTTAGTAAGCTGCGTTGGTTAGTTTGGTTTAGTATATAATTCCTTTCCAACCGGGTTAAAGGAAAGTTTGAAACTTGTTATCGTGTGTTAGAGTTGTTGAGTGTGAAAACTTGAAACTTAAAATCATTATTTAAACAATTCTTCGTGGGCGAGCTGTACGAAATTGGATAGAATTCCTGTGCGAGTGAATGAAAATATCAAAAGGTTAGTACTGCATTTTCATTTTATTAATTTATTTCATAGAATTTCAATTTTACTGCTAGTTTTGGGGGAAATTTAAAGTTATAAATTTTCATCATAATTAAATTAACTGCTTTATGGGGAAATAATTTATAAATTAATTTACTACATTTGGTATGAATTTTATCAGATTATCTTGTGTAAAATATTAATGAAGTTTAGAAGAATTTTAACAAGTTTATTTTTTATTTTTCTTTTCTGTTTTTTGCAGATGATTGTGGTATGAAGACTAAAAATGTAAAAGAAACATGAGTAAAGAATGGTTAGTACTAATTTAAATAAATTAGTTAAGAATATTTTTAAATTATACTTACCTGTTAACTGTCTGGGAAAAAGCCGTGGGGAAAAATGTTGTGTATTATGTCCGAATTTGTTAGTAATTTTGCTAGTATGCGAATGATGTTTTTAGTTTGGAGCAGTGGCCAAAGCAATTGAAGTGCTTTAATGGTTTTTAATTCTTCGGTGCCTACTGCCAACTCATAAGGTGTATTTTGAATGAGGTTATATATTTTGTGATTATATTTAGTATTGTGAATAAGTTCTAATATTGGGATTTCTATAGGTTGGATAAATTCATGTGGGATAAGGAAGGGTCTGGATTCTTCGGCATTAAAGGTCTTCGTGATGGGACAAAATATATACATTTGTGTTACTGGGTCATAATTGCGGAGGATGCCGTGGATGTTAGTGTCCTTGATGCAATAGGTGAAATTAAGAAAAAATGGTGAAGTGTGTTCGAGTTAAGAAACTGAAAACGATGGTGTGGTTGTCTTGATGAAGTATTTAAATCAATATGATTTCGTATGAAGCGATAGTATGTATATGTATGAGTCTGTTTAGTGCGTAACGTAATGTCGTGTGAACAGTGAAAATCGCGTTCATGTGGTGCAAGGAAGTGAAAGGTTAGTGAAAATAACTGAAATTTTTCTTTAAAACTTTCGTAAGCTTGAATATCAGTTAGTGCTTCAGAAATGATGTGACCATATTTTCTATCAAAAACATTAAGTGTGAATACATATGACGTTTTGATTAAGAATTTTTCTGTTAGTTGTGGGTTAGCGAAGCGGTCGTCATCTAGAAATTGGTCTTGATTAGTTCGGATGATATTATGGTCGTAATATTTTATTGTAAATTCGTTAGCTCGGGGTGCAGTGAATGTTTTTAGTGATTTTTTATATCCTATATAAGTAAATTGTCTAGGTGTTAGTGTTGCGGTGAGTCTATATAGCATATCTTTATTCTTTTCTATATCGTTATGAGTACTAGATAGTGGCAGGCAAAGGGGACTAGTAAAATGGTAATATGCTGTCCAGTGAAGTGTCGGCATTAAAATATGTTCATCTACAAAACTACGTGTGTCGTTAGTGTCGTTAGGTGTGTTTAAAGTATATTGTGGGAATGAGGGTAAGGTGATTGCTAGGAAATCTTTCGTGTTGGTGTGGTGTGGATGATTAATATATTCGCAGGCTGTTCCTGGTTTGGTCGGGAATGGATGGTTCGGGAATTTTCTTTTAAAAGTGCGATAAGCTCGTTGAGTGCTATTTGATGATTCGGTGGATGTGGATGATTGTGCTAATGATGCAGTGTAAGCTGAGGAGGGTGTAGGAGTAGCTGGGTTTGAGGATTCTATTGTGGATGAAATTTGATTTATATTGAGGGTGTTAGGGTGTATTAGCTGTTGTTGTAGGGTGATAAAATTATCGAGTTCCTGGGAGATTTGGGGGGTATCTGGAGAATTATTAGATGATCGGTCGGAATGAAATG